TTTTGAAAAAGTGGTATTTTTGTAAAAATTTCAAAAATATGGCATTTTTGTAAAATGGCACTTGAAAAATGATATTTTTAAAAATTTCTCTTTATGGAAAATAACCTCTTTTAGAAAACAACAACAACGGTAGGACTATTGGTTACCAAAAAAAAAAACAACGGTAGGACTATACACTTGTTTTTTTTTTTAATAAAACTTTTGTTTAGTTTGACTTTGGAGATGTATCGACTGTCCGAGTTCTGATAGACTTATATTATCGGAAAGAAGATTAAACACATGTAATTCGAAAGCATGGTCTGCTCCTATATGCATGTGTACTTCTCAAAAGCCATAATTAACTACTAATTAAAAACCACATTAAAACAAAAACACAAATAATCTTTAATTCGCCACCCCGAGATGATGTTCTTTAGACATGATTCTCTGTTTTGGAAGACTGAGTTTCCGATGACCCGTTTATTTTTTCTGTTCGTCAATACAAACAAACAAAGAAAAATATTAGCAAATCTTTATTATTCTAAAAAATAAAAAAGTATTAGCAAATCATGAATGAATGAATAAGTAATCTATATAGATAGAAAGTAACAAGTCACCTTGTTCAATACTTTGAGCCTTCTTTGTTTTGAGCCTCAGATAACAAGAGATTGTAAGACCGATGATCACAATGGTAACCATAACAGCTGCAATTATGATTCCAACAAGAGCTGGAACATCAAGTGTTTCTACTATATGGCTCTTTCTCCTCCTCGAACCTGGAATTTAATTAATCAGGACTTAAGAATCATATATACATCTCATAGAATCACACTAAAATTGAAGCAATAATCTTTAGTTTATAAAAGTTTTTTTTTACTCTTTAGTTTAGCAACTGCTTTAATCATAATCACTTTTGAGTCAGCTCCTAGAGCTTGAAGATTTCGAGCTTTCGCTAGATTTGCAACATTATCACTCGTAGCCATAACATAGGATTCATCATCTTGTCTAAACGATAGAAAGCAAAACAATATGTCTGTAAATAGTGGAAGCCATATGAAACAATTGAGAAGTAGGATTCTGGGGTATTTTTCTTACTTTGAGGCAGTATTTATTGTGGATAGAGCATATCCGGAAGTTAGATGGTGAGAAACGAGTACGAGGATGATGATAAGAAGAAGATTAATGGAAGCCATTAAAGTCGTCGACTTGTGTTTTTTTGCCAATGTGAAAAATATACGAAGAAATATGAAAGAAGACTTAGCTATATATATATGCAGTATAGTCCATTTCTCTATTTTACATATTTGCCTCTGGTCACTTATTTTATTATATTCTCTATGATACAAATTCGAGCCTGGTTACTTATTTTATCAATTTCATTATTTACATATACTCAGATAGTTAGATGTCTTTGTGGACCGATCGGTAGGTTGTCTATTTTCCCCCTTTTTAATTTATAGGCTTGTCTGCGTTTGACTTGGAAAAGCTTCTTTAATTTCAAAATGTTATAGGAATTTTAAGTACTCATCAAGTAGTAACAGGTTTCCAAGCAAAAACAGAAAATTTTCAGATCATTGACAATAAGACATTAGTTTTTTTTTTGGGATAAAACAATCTTTGTTTCTAATGACTAACAATTACACATGCATGTGCCCTTCTTTAGTTTGACTATGGATATATATTTGTCTGAGTTCTGTAGTCTTATTTAAAGAAGAATAAAACATGTAATTCAAACGCATGGTCTGGTGTATTCTCTCCTCCAAGATAATTTTAATTACACGGCAACATCAATGATCATTCATCATAGCTTTTATAACAAAAAAAACCAACAAACAGTTGACAAGAAAAGTTTAAAATCATCAAAGAGAAAGAATATGATCAGATCCTACGAGTTTATGAATGTAATTAATAAGAGTTTAAACGCTTGATTTTTTTTCTTTTTCAAACATTACTGTCACCATTTGAAAGCTTTCCGGTAGGAGCACTCATGGTAACTGTTTTCGTCTTCTCATCCATCTTTTTAGCTCCCACTTCTCCTATTCAATTATATATATATACACACACAACATGTTGTATGTTAATGATCTTTATTTATATTGACTCAGTAATCACTATACTAATACATTGTACCCCACACGTTCGTTGCATGTTATAACTCGGGTGGAAACTTCTCCGTTCGTAAAGTTGTGTCGAATAGTTATAATACCTAATAGTTGTGAAACTAATTTTTTTAAACATAGTGGTGAGAAAAAGAAATATTGTCTACATGTCCTTTGGTAGATTTTGTGTAAAGATTCCGGACGATGTCATAATCTTATAGGAAACTAATTTGTTTAACCTTCAATGTTTCATAACACAATATATTTTATTACCTGGATAGGGTTTGATAGCGGCTGCGTTCATGGCCTTTTGTCTACGGACGCAGAAAAAACAGATTCCGATGGCGAGACCAATAACAAAGAAGAGACCAACAGATATAGATCTATAATAATCGGCAAGAACCCGCTGTTTCCGTGGCTGCTGCTTCCACTAGTGGTTGTTTCACAATCGAGTGTCAACCTGTTAAACCTATCCGCATTGTCCAAACTTCGTTGCACTTGTTAGTCGTGCAAATCTTCCCATGATCTCGAAGATGTATCACACCCCGGTTGCCCTAATTCGTGAACATGAATTAATTTTCAATCAACTGATGAACTCATTTCAATTC